CCCCAAAACCCCAAAACCCCAAAACCCCAAAACCCCAAAACCCCATATTTTGTTCGTATAATTAATAATATTCCAAATATGGAGCCTAGTCCAGGAAGCTCAAATGCACAATCGCCTTCGCATAATAAGACCTCTAGTTACTATAATAAGGATGAGAAATATAAGGGAAATAATGAACCAAAGAATCCTCAAGGAATTAATAAAAAAGAGCAGGTTAGGAATAAGCAAATGTGTGTTAAAAAGTAAGCTTCTTTTGCTTGGTTGATCATAATAGCTTTCCCAGCTCTTTTCAGAGCATTCTAATATTTTTCCTTTACTAAAGTCACAGTAATTTTATTATTTTGTAGATAAAAACTCAGCCGATAATCCGAGCAATGGTATTTCGAAATAGAAGGGCGAAGAAAGAAGGAAAATATTATAAATGAAAACAGTTCTCTATAGAAGTTTTATTAGAAAAAGATGAAGTCAGAACCTTTTCTGTATTTAATATCGACTCTTCCGAAGATGCTGCGATAAAAATGGTAGGAAATCTAAGACTAGATGAAACACAAATTCCGTTTTGGACAGCATATATAGAAGAACGAAGGGTAGAGCTAAAATTTAAGAACTTGAATCCCCAAAATAATCCAAACCAGGGTCAGAATAACCACGGTAATCACTAATCCCCTCTTCTCTCCACATGTTCACCTTTATAAACCCCCTAATTTCTACCAACTCTGAAAATTTCCGACTCAAAATCGCCCTAAAACCCCATTTTTCCTTCCAAAACCCCTATTCCACCTCTTCCACTACCCTTCCCCCCAAACTCTCTTCCTAAATCTTACTCTCTTCCTAAAAATCTACCTCTTTTCTTCCTAAATTTCCCAATTTCCTACAGGGGCTCTTCTCAATCTCTTTAAAATCCCAAAAGTTCACGAATAAATATTTCTGCCTCTGCGCACTCTGCCTTAAGCCTGGGCAAGCGCCCAGGCTTAAGGCAGGAATTTTAGAGTGGGCGAGGAGGTGAAAGAAGACTTATGGGCGACCTAGAAGTTAGATTGGGGTTTAATAGGGTTCAAAGAAATTTTGGAGTGAGAATATTATGGAAATTTTAAGGGTTTTATTATGGGATTTTATGTTTTATAGGGAAGAATGAGAGAAATCCAAATTCGAAGGGTCTGAAGGGGAGGAGTAATAAGAAATAAGTCTGATGATAAAGGTTTGAAAGATGAAGGAAAAAGTTGAGGAGGGACTCAAAGCAATTTAGAGGAGTCGAAAACTGGTAAAAATAATGAGAAACATAAAAATTTCAAACACAAACCTAAAGATAATAAATAAAAAGCAGAAGACCTCCAATAGTCTTGAGGAAGAGAAGATTAATAAACCCAATGATAAGAATTCAACCCAAAGATCTCCTCCAAAGACCCAGCACAAAAATTGTGATAATTCTCAAGACACTAAGACTAAAGTACGAAATAATGAAAAGAGCTTCTCTAAAGCCCAAATAGGGACACTAAAACAGAAACAGTACAAAGAGGGTAAATAGCCGAGGCTATAGAGGCAAGCAAGAGCAGCCAGGATAGTCGAGTTTGCTTGCAATTTGTATTCTTATGTATAATATTGATATATCCATAAACTTCAAACCCAATCTTCTTGAGACCCTGGTTAAAGATTTTCATCAGATTTAGCTAAATTCTGGAGAATCCCACCTGGTAGTTATACACCTATTAGAATTTATTATTTATTATATATTAGATGAAGAATTTTAGAGGGGTTTTGGGGTTTTGGGGTTTTGGGGTTTTGGGG